CAGTGGTTTTGATGGTTCCAAGCGGGCACCAAGTGGCCCAAAAGCGAAGTCAAAGGCGGAATCCGAAAGCTAAAAGCCAAAAGCCAAGGGGATTTTTCATTAAACGCGCAAATGAGGTCAAAGGGTGAAAGCAAAGACTATAGAATATCAAGATGTTGCATCCCATACAAAAAATTTTTCGTTTCTGTTTCGAGCTTCATGATGCGGTCGGTCGGGGTAAAAAGGGAAAATCTAAAAATAGAAACACGACGAACTGCTGCTTTCGGCTTTCGTCTTCGTTTTTAATATTCGTCGTGTTCCCAAATTGGGAATTTGTTCACAGCTGGCAATTTTCAGTTTATCGGGCTTTATACACTTTACAATAGTAAAAGGGTATATCAGACTTGTAAAGCATTATTATTTTATTTTCTTTAATTTTCATTTAAATCATAATTTTTCGTTTATAATAATTAAATTAAAGAATTCTTAGGTGCAATATTAATATTGTTCCTTATTCAGATAATTGTGTCGTTAAATTTTCACACATGCGAATGTACATACGCGTGTTAGGGTATTTTGCTGCTCACCATGATACAATTATACAAGGTAGTCCACTCGGCTTGCCGAAGTCGTTCGGTTTTGGTCCCTTATTTTCAGTGCGTGCCTGCTTGTCAAACTGAAGCACAATGTAGCCGTTTCACTCACACTTACTTGACAAAGTTAAATTAGGGGACTATGGATTTTGCCGAGTGGACTACCTTGTATAATTGTATCAGGCTGTTCACCACTTGCATGAACGCAAAAAAAAATTATAAAAGCAAAAAATTGAAAAAAAATGTAAAAATAAAATAATTAATTAATTTACACAAAAAAAAAAAAAAAAAAAAACAATTTATGATATGGCTGGGGGCTCGGCGGGGATACGAACCCGGGCCTTCATGTACACGAGGCATAGCATCTACCACAACACCACCGGGCTTCATAAAGCGCGGCGAACTAATTGAGTATATGGTCTTAGCTGCCTTTAAAAGTGCAAAGTCATGTGGGTCTCCATATCAAGACCCACCATAGAACGATTTTTTTGAGGTCATGCAACATCTTGATATTCTATAGTCTTTGGTGAAAGCTTCTCAAATGTTCGATTAATTAGACATTTGGCTTTAGCTTTGTAGGCTAATGAAAATGTTCAGCTTGAAGGCGGTAACAAACATTGGATATAAGGAATTAAATCCTAATTCAATTTTGAAACAAGCAAATTGATTAAATACAAAAAATTCTAGGAAATAATTGAAACTAGGTATTTAATATTTATAAAACAAGTTCTTGTTCAGGCATTTTTGATTACCAAAAATGGTTGGAAAAATATAAAACCTGTTTAATCAGTTTGTTCTGAACATAAAACGTACGCAAACTTGATGTTTATTTTCTTTAAAGTTCCAGAAAACCATATTCATTTTAAAATAAATAAATAATTTATTTATAAAAATTTTCTCAAAGTTGTTGTTTATTTTGATTAAAGTCACAGAACACAATTTGTGTATATTCACTTTAAAATAAATCAATTTTTATTGGAGAAGAAGTGCAGTGCCACCTCAAACCCAGATCAATTTGCATAATCGAAAATGAGATCTGGGTCTGGGGGCCTTTAAAAACTTTTAATTGAAACGCGTTACGAGTCACGTACAAGGCGCCAACGACACTGTTAATTATAAATTTCGCGTGTTGTGTGTGCATGGTGTGGGTTTTTATTGCGCTGCATCGGCAATTAACAGGCAAATATAACAACAACAAATAACTGGCTGCCAGGTTTGCAGATGCTGCGATTTTTATGCGCAACGCCGGCCGGGCCGTTGAATTATTGGCGGTTGTTCCGTGCCGCAGCTGCCGGCATTAATCCAACACGCTCGCAGCCAGGACACCATCGCGCACTATGGCAGATCTAACCGATGCGCCTCGTAAAGCAGCCCAACAATACCCAACAATATGCCATCCGGATGCCTCCATCCTATCTACATCCCCGTCCAATTCCATCCCGATTTCAGCTTCGGTTCGACATCAGCCACGGCCAACGGGCATTTTTGCAGTGATTTGCGTGCATCGGCATGTCCTGCGAGGATTTCGTCCTCTCAGGCTGCGGGGCTTTTCTCGTTGTTTCGTTTTTATACGCTGCTATAGTGCATTTCCAGGGTATCTCGCTTGTTTGATTTGAGGGTGGCACATCCGGATAGCCAAAGTGGTGATCGAAACTTAAAAAAAAAATTAGAAACAAATTAAAAAAAAAAATATAATAATTTTTGTGTGTCGTCAGGTCCTGAATGTTTATCAATGGGAACTTGATATAAGCTTAGAGATATGTTAGGGATTCAGATAAGATTTCCTGTTTACTATACCTATATGCCGATTGAAAAATTATTATACTTGTGGGCCAAGATTTTTAGAGGTTAGCAAAAATTGGTTTTTGTAGTATCAAGTCAAAAAAGAACAAATAATTAAGCAAGATTATATTATATACTGCACCATCGGGTATAGCACTGTCGATCAGGTTTTTGGGATGGCCTTCTGGTATTTTTGTAGCAACGCGTCCCTGTCTGGCATTCAATTGAACCGAAACGCGGATGGTCACTGGGGTAAACCAATGCGAGGGTTCGTGGGGGCACGCATACGCACTCTCTGATTGCATCAAGTTGAAATAATGTAATTAGTTTTTGTGCCGCGGTCGGGAGCAGGATGCAATTCGGCGGAGTGGGGATTGCTGATGTGGCTTTAGGTTTTCGCTGGGGCAACGGTCGAACAAGTTTGCCTGTCCAATGTTTTGGGGCCTCGTTAGCAGTTTGTTTTGTGGAAGAGAGTTGCCAAAAAGGTGGCTTTGGGACTGTTTGTTTCGATTCGAATTCGGTAATGATAAGTGCTCTGATTAGATGGCGAGTAATTTTGACACTTTTCAAACGGTTGCCACCCTTTGCAATTAGATAATTGGAGTGTTACTACAGACCTTTATTTTTATTCTTAAATGGGAGCTGAAAAGTATGCTATAGATTTTGATTTTGTGTGATAAATTGAAAGGATAACTTCTGTATCATATTAATTAGTTTTCGAAGCTAAGATATTTCATATTGTTTGAACTGTATTATCTACAACCTCTTTTAGTTGTTCAATAATTATGTAAGAATTTTGTTTCTTAAAAAGAAACATTTTGCAAACTAAAATGGCTCACAAAACCCAATCATTTTTATCCGACGCATACCATATTCCAGCGCTTAAACAACGAAGCTAATTTTATCCAAATATAATTAGGCCATTACTCATAATCCAACAGCCGTTCGACTTGCTCAACTCTCCTTGTATCGCAGGATTTCTCCATTATTCCGTTTCATTTCCCTACTTTTGCCCGTCCGGGCTTCGGCTCCATTTGTGGCCTACATATTTAAGTATCTCTTATATCAAGCTGCCGAGCTAAAAGTGTTTTTTGGCCACATTCCATTGCGAGAATCAGCGAACAGACCGGGCCAATATAATGGCGCCCATTACGCGCCATATCGAATGGCCAATTGTGCCCAAAAAATTATCGCGCCATGGCATGCCATCGCCGCTCGACCGTCTGCCATTCAGCTGGCTGTCAAATAATTAATTAGAAAATAATTGCACGTAATAATTCATGGGCCCATCGGGCCATTGAAATGGAGATAGATAGAGGGAAGAAAGCAAATAACCCATGGGCAGCCTGCCACTGATTTTGTCCTGCGATTGCGGAATTGCCTGAATAGAGAGTGGGAGCTGGCTAATTCCAACAGTTACTGCTGTTAATTTTCTATGCATTCGATTGGGTGCGTTGCGCATGTCTCACACTCCTCGAAATTGTCATGTCGCATGCATCTAAAATTAATCATCGCCATGCAGCATAATTTATTATGTCACACAGCGGCCGCATTGGCCACAAACCCAAATCTGCCGGCAGGACCAAATCAAGCCAGGGGTCGAGAGGCGTTTACTTCCTGCGGTTGTCGGTTTGACATGACACATTTTAAAACTGAGCAGAGTTTATATTCTCTTTTGTACACAGTGCAGCCTAATATTATAGAAACTAAATAAAATTTTAAAGTTAACAGAATGAAACTAAACTGGTTGCGGGTCAGATTAAAAAAGGGTTTTAGTGTCAAATAATATTAAGCGTTTACTAAATCAATTATTTAAATCAGTTATTCGATTAAAACATTTTTATTGAGTACTAATAATTTTTAGGTAAAAAAAATAGTGAGAACTTACTTCTTTTAGGCTTCACATATTTATATCTATTTATTGGCTATAGTTACCTTTTACCTTTTTACAGTTAGATTTTGTGATATATGTACCATTTTATTTATCAATCGCAAAACATTCGTCGATTCTATTTCCATTCCCACTATTGTAAATTTGTACATGCCAGTATGTACCTTGAAAATGTCATGTTGGATACGTCGGTTGTCGGGCTCTTCAATCAAATGCGAAATTTTGTATAATTACAGGCTGGCCGACTGCAAGCCTCAAGTGGTGGAGCCATTTGATTTAATCACGTTAATAGCCTTTGCATGTCGCGGCTTTGTATATATGTAGAGCGATGTATGTGTGTAGGACTTAGAGGTGTTAAATGTTTGCGGTTGCATTGTAATAAACTTGCATGCAAATGGCCGCCCATCAACTTTAATTACGCCCCGAGTGCCAGGGAGTTTTGGAATAATGAAAAAAAACTGCTGGGCTCTAACGGAAGGTAAAATTGATGATTGATGAAAATTTTGTACGTGTGCGTGCCGGCCGGGCTAAAATGTCTGAAGAGGTTTTCCATGGAGGTGTGAGCCGTCAAAGAGTTTCCGGTAGATGTTAGATAAGCACCCATACGTTTTTGCAACCTCTATGATTGATTGTGTGCTGTTAAATGTTCCATTACAAGCTCTCCTTTGAGTATCAAAAAAAGTTGCCATGAATCCGTAATTTATGGAGAGCTGTCAACAGAGTTTGGCCCCTAAATAAAAACACAATTGTTGGTATTGTTTTGCATTTTTTAAAGTTATTTTTATTGCATTTCTCGCTCTTTTCCTCTGGCGTTCTTCTCAAATGTATTTTGTATGAATCTCAAAGGTTTTCCACTTGCTTGCTATTTTATTTGCCATTCACAAACAATATTACAATTTTCCATGGATTTGTTTCACGTTTCTTTCTTTTTAGTTTTCTATGTTTGTTTACAATTTGTCACAACCTTACAAATTGAAAATTGATATAAACCAATACGTTTCGGAATTTGTGTATGTTTGTTATTGAAATTTCGCATTCAATACCATTCGGTATGTATGTGAAGTAAATTAAATTTGAGCTGGATTTACCTTTAGTTTGTTTGGTGTTTGCTGTTGGTTGGGCTTTGTTTTGCGATTGTTGCTAATATAATACTTGTTTATCGTCTCTGCGGATCTATTATCAATTTTGTTTTGTAAGGTAGCGCTTGAGAACGCTCGGCTTGGCCATTTTTTCTTGCAGCCTTGCCCGTTCCTATACACAATGCTAAAGTTAAAAAATATTTTATCATTACCATCTAAATGTTTAAAAATCAAAATAGGCTTTGTTTGCATATTTCCGGGAGGAGGAAAACTGTAATGCTATTTTCAATGTTTTATGTTTTAATTCATATTTTTATTTCAATTTGTGTTTTGCATTTGCTCATAAAAACAAATGGTACAACTTACAATTTGGCACATCATTAAAGATTAGAGTTTCCATATAATATATATATTTATATACTTTATATTTATACTTTATATGACGCCTAGGCATCTGATCTATGTGAAAGTAAACAAAAGCTGGCGCTGGCTTATGGTTAGACTACACAGATTACAGGTTTTTGTTGGGGGTCACAAAATGGATCGGGTTAAATGAAGACTTTATCATATACATCATATATCGTATGTTATCATATAGCTGCAGTGTTTGATTGAGTTGCGTTTGCTTTATAATTTACTTGTAGGTTGACTTTCCTCAACGCATTGCTTAAGACAAAAATTGTGTTTTCCTTAGTTTTGTTTTTGTTTGTTTTAAAAGTTTGCGGTGGAAGTTGAGTTCATAATTTAAATGTATATACCGTACCGTATTATATTTAAGTTTGCTTTATAACTAGATGGTTTATCTCTTCCTTTTTTGCTCATCATCAAACCCAAAAATCAGTGTGTTCTTTACTGGTGTGTGATTGGGGTGGGCCAAAAAGTATACTAGGCTTTCTGGCAAACTATTTTTGCGCTATTTGAAAAATTCATTAAATTTAATTACGTCTTTATTTTATAATTCACTTGAAAGCTACGTTTAATTTGGCAATTGTTGGGTTCGATTTGTTTTCCTTTATTGTTTTCCCTTTAGTTCGTAATCGTTTACTTATCCATTTGTGTCTGTCGTCAGCATATAAACTAAATACCTAACTAAAAATCATTTAAAATATAAACTTTGGCTTTAAAAATGTCAACGTAAAAATAATATATCGATGCGTGATCATGAGAGAGGATCAAACAAAAGGTAGATACACCCTAATGAGTGTACAAATATGAGTATGCCGTAAATTGCTTCGATTTCTCAGGTCAATAGCCTGTGCGTGTGTTGTTTGTGTGTGCGTTGAGAGGAATAAGGTAAAATACCATATGTCATCGTAAATATGTACAATCTGAGACAGTTGCTAAGTGATTAGATAAAAAAAAAACATCAAAGTTGAAGCTCTTTGGAGTTGATGAAGTTTTCATTCCTCTCTTCTTCCCTCTTTACAAGTAATTGGTATTAGGATTTCAAGGAAATTCGAAGAACACCTAAAGAATTGCACGATTACACACACACAATAAATAGTAGCTTGGTTTTGTTTTTTAGCATAGTTTGGTTGATAAACAACTAGTATAAATTTGACGACAGTAGCTGCCTAAGAATCAAAATAGAGAACGACGTCCTTTTTGTTTTTGGTTGTTTTCCATTGAGCATTTAATCGTTAACATTTGAAAAATACACAACGTTAAAAGTTTCTTGGTTTCATTTTCGTTTTGTGTGTGCATTTAGATTCGAGTGTGTATAAAATAAATTCTTAGTTTGCTTAGGGAAGTTTCGCTTCGGTCTAGACCGAAAATGAACAACATCGAAACGACGTTTCTTTTTTGCATTTTCACTTTTGGTTTTGTTTTTTTTTACACAACACACAAGAAAAGTGCTACGGAGTAAGAGCTAAAAATTGTAATTTTTAATGCTTATTATTCGATTTCCACATCATTCATCAATGGCTTTTTGTCACTGGAAGCTTGACCTTTAAAAACTAATATATTTTTTTGTTCATTTTCTTCTCTTTTTCTCGCTTTGCTGCTATGGCGGCATTTAAAGTAAATATTATTGTATATTCCAAGGATATGTCTACGTGTTGATCTTTTGCATTACCTATGCGCTACAATTTTTTTGAGCAATTCGAATTGAGTCGTGAGCTGAGTGTGAGTGGATTTAGCTGCCAAAATATAAAATTATTAGGAACAACCAAGCAATGCATTAAAATTAAATTCGTTGACAATACAGTACAATACAGAAATGAGTATTCTTTGGGTAATCGAATTAGAGATATCAATCTAAAGTATAAATATATATTTTTGTGCTTTAGCAGATCGCAAATAATGTACAATTTCATTTGTTAATGTGTGGCTGCATTGTTACTTTTCCTTACTACATCCTACAATGCTAATATTTTAGAATAATTTGTAAATTATAAGGACTAACTTAGTTCAACGAAGTTATGAAAATCAACAACCGAGGGTTTACATTTGTTTTTTTTTTTTTTTTTTTTTTTGATGTTTCAGCATGAGAAGTACCTAAAAACATTGCTCTTTTCCTGGTTTGCTTTGATATACAAATACAATGTCTATATATAATAACTATATATCATGTTGGTAATATATATATATATAAATTCTGATCTGCCGCACAAAGTTTCAGCTTTTGTTCTGGTAAAAATCTACGCATGAAGCACATTTTTCTTTTCATCCTCTGCAAAACAATTTTGCAATTCGAATTTATGTGTTAATAATTTTTTTTTTTACGTTTTCTGTGGTTTACTTATATAAACTCCATAGAACTGCGTTTAGCGGCGTATATTTTTCTTTTTGGTTTAGCTTTTTGCTTTTACTGGACGACATTGATTTGTTTATGTTCTTTTTGTTTCTTTGTTGCTTAGCTTTGATTTTCAACTCTCCAAGGACTTTGAGCGTCTGTTGTTGTTGTTGTTGTTTTTGTTGCCATGGCTGCTGTTGGGTGTTGAGTATCCTGCATCTATCGGTTTGGTTGTAACTTCTACTTACTGCACATAGGGAGGAGTATTAAGTCTAGTTACTTATTTGCTTTGCTTTGTTCATATATTGAGCATTTTCATCGAGAGTAGTTCAAGTGCATTATTTGGCTGACTGGCGTAGATTGTTCTTAATATGGCGTGAAACGATTGAAGCCACCGCGATACATGGTTGCCTAGTGAAAAATGGAAGAAAAAATAAGAAAGCATTGAAGGATTAGTAAAGATTATTAAAATAAGAATACTATTCGTTTTTGAAAAAATATAAAAAAAATTCCTAAAAATATTACAACATTTTTAAACATGCTAGACAACAAGATACTTTAAAATAATTTAAAAAACGTTAAAAACATGGAAAACTTACCCCGTATCCAGGAACTGGTCCAATGCCATGTCCTAGATAAGGATCTGCATATTCGCGCGCATATCTATAAATATTTTGATGATGTATTTTCAGCTTATTAGTAATTTTCAATGGTGTTTTCTTGATTTAAATGATGGGGTGGAATGGTTGATTGATGATTCCAGTTGGATTGTTAAGCTTAGTTAGTTTTTCTTTTCTCCTAATCGTTTAATAAAAATTATTCAGTTTAGACAAAGTCTTACAAAAGTGTTCAATCGACTGTTGCAGCTCTTCAGTTTTCGGTGTTAGATTTCTACACTTTACCCAATTACACGCATTTAGTTTAAAATTACACAAAGAGAAGTAAAATCAAAAATTAGTCAAACTTCAAATAAAAAGGAAACCAAATAAATAAATAGTAGTTTAAAATTTAATATTTTATAGAAGTAAATAGAAATTAATAAAAATAAATAAATAATAAGTTATAAGTTAAATTTAAAAAGGATTTTACGGAATAATAATAAAAATAAAACATTAACCAAAACATAATTTACCATCTAAGAAAACCTTAAGAGAGTGATACACTTAGGTAAAATCAAAAGACATATTAAATGATTGAAGAAATTTAAATTGCTAACGGTTGTAAAAAATTGTAATCAAAATACTTAAACTGTAGAAAATAATAAGATATACAATAAATAGGTAATTAAAAATAAGATAATGGTAAAATTAATTAGTTAATTTTAACCCTTATAAAACTTATTTTTATGTACTATAATTTTTGAAAAACTATTTTTTGATCAGACTTAAATACCAACTGAAGTCATTGTGAGGGGAAATTCGGTGATTAATTGGTTAGAGAAGGTGAGGATGGATTAATGGTGAGCAGGAGTAATCTCCGGTGGTGAAATCGGGCTTCAGTTCGATGGGGATATACGTAGATAACTTACCCAGCTACGGTGGCGTAGCCGGCGAGTGCCGGCTGGGCAGCCGCAGCGGCGGCGGCACCATAGGCGGCCCGAGCGGCTACCGCCGTGTAGGTGGTGGCCGCCGTGGCGTACGCCTGCTGCTGGGCCTGAGACAGCGGTGTCTTTAACAGCGGAGCAGTGGCCTGGAATAACGGTAAGCAGATGGGGCGTTAAACGGGGGCAAAATAGGCGTGGCGACTCCAGAAACAGACGCAGTTACAGATCGGGGATTGGGGTAATATTATTTTTAATTATTTTTTTTCTTTGTTTTTGGGGGCGACAACGGCAAACGACAAGACTAGCGAAGGAGACGGTGGGTGAGAGCAAGTGTGGTGTGAGAAAAATTAGGAACCCAAACCGGTGGAGGCCAAAAGTATACGCACACACAAAAAAATACATAGTTCGTAACCAAAACCAAAAACGGGTGCAAACAAGTGGAGTAGTGTGTTCTCAAATATTCTATGTACACTTAAAACTCTAAGCCAGGTGTTGAAACCAGGTGTTTTCAACCGAGCTACGAAGAACCCAAGATGCCAGGCTATAAAACCGAAAAGCGAGGCACGAACCAGTACATTTAAATAACTTATCGTATCGGATTACTTGCTAGGGTTATAACTTAAGACTTAAGGCATAGACATACAGTTTCAAGAGGTGCATACAGAAAAGGCATTGCGCAAAACGTTAAGGTATGACAACAATCAAACGGAACGGCAGGATATCTAGGTGCATGGGTATGGAAAGACTATAACTAGATATGATTATTTTTACCAAAACATTCTGTGGAACCGGAATGCGGTTGATCGTATGTGGGTTACTGTTTAGCGTAGTCACAGTGCGGCGCTGTAATTTATGGTTTTTGGTTTTTCAATCAGTTTTGGTTTTTACGGTTTTTCGTTTTTCATATGTTTTTTTTTTCAATCGTGTTGTGGTAATAGTTGTTGAGTTGAGTATGTTGTAACAGTCGTGAAAGATATAACCAAAGAAGAGTTTGTAGTAGTTACAAAATGTATACAGCATTGAATAATAATTCATAGGTATTAGTTTGTAGTTAATATTATTCAGCAAAAGCAAAATGGTGAAACAAATAAAGAAAACTAGCAGAAGTACTTAAAAAGTATGTAGATTAAAGTAGTTAAGAAGAGCGTATGCTTCATAAAGCCACCTGTGGTCACTAATGAATTTTTTTGTTCAAAAGATAAACCAAACAAAGGATGCAATTATACAGTAAAGAGCTTATACACAAGTGTTCAGTTATTCAGACATTTAGTTGAGTAAGCTTTGCTAAGCTTAAGTCAAGGAAATAAAGTGATTTACGACCAGTTACCAAGTTCGATCTCAACTTAAACATGTTACACAGCAAGAAATTAGGACGCGTCGTTAGTTTTGGATGGACGTGGATAATGCAAAAGGAAACTCAAAGGAAGCGACTTAAAACAATATACGTATGAGTAGTAGATAATAAACGTTTCTTCCAAAAACCAAGTCAAATGTTTCAAAACTCAAACGGTGTCTTTCACAAGCTACCATAAAAATATACAAATTATAACTGAATTGTTCTTAATTTTTTTGGTGGTTGTGGTTAGCATATTAGTTTGAAAAAGTTTTATTACATTTAATATGGCGGCTGGCTGAGCGGCTGGAACTTCAGTGACCGGTTTGGCTGCCTGTAAGATTTATATAATATTTTCATGTATTTTCGTGGCAAGTTTCGGGATTTCGGCTTAGCTCTAAACTAGGCTTTAAACTAGCTTAAAGACGTACAATAAACTTATAGATAGTAAATGGATTTGTTGGCTGGACGAAACTCACCTGGAAGCGTAGATTTGGATCAGCGGAAGCAGCGGCTGCTAAGAAGGGATCATAGTATACACTGCGTTGGGAACAAGATGGATAAAAGAAGACGATATATTAATAAAGAGTTCGTGATGGGATTGTGTCTGGGTGGGTGAGTCGAGTGAGAGGCAACCAGACGGAGGAATACACGAAATACTCCTCTTAAACGGCTTACCTCTCACCCAATTTATGGCACTTAAAAGCAAAATTCAAAAATTTTCTTTTTGGTTCATTTTTTTAACGCACTTGTGTGGTCTTTTATTTGGGCGCTATGCAAAACCAGACGGGATAAAGTTTGCCATTAAAAAAATTCCAAACATTTCTCGTCGGCCAATAAAACTTTATCCGCATCCGGGTTTGGTTTTCATTTTTTGTTTTCGTTTTTTTTATTTTTTATTAAATGTTGTTGTTGTTTTTTTTTTTTTTTGGTACCGGATGCTGTTGTGGGTAAATGGCTGTAACTTAAGGGGCAACTGAAAAACAAAATGTTGGCACCTAATTGCAGACACCCCACCTACCTAGCTAATTAATTGCCTGTGCTAAACTGACCTGATCTGACCTGTTTCCCCACTTGATGACGAACTGATTGGAGGAAATGTTTGAGACAGAGGAAACGAAACAAAGGGAAATTAAAAGGTTTAGATATTGTCGTTTTATATAGAGAGAGCACTAGCAAAGATAGCCAACCAACGAACCACATACATAGGTCATTCCATTTCCCAACACTACGAAAATTGTCTTGCTTGCTTTAATTTGCAATTAATCTTTAGACAGAACAGACACTCATGCACCTAGCTAATTAGTTTTATTTATTATTATTTTTTTCTGGGTGTTTTCTTTGTAATTTTGGTTCTTTGGCTTGGCATGTCTTGTGGTGTGGTTATAGGTATACAAATATTTAATGGAGCATTCATTCGTGGGATATATGGGTGAGTGTGTGTAGAGAGCAGCCACAAAAGAATAAGTTAATCAAAGGTCTATATAAATATAGGTTTATATATATAATGTCGGGGCAGAACATGCACGCAAGGCGCTGGCAGAGAGCGACGCAGTCGCATTAAAACACTTTCAAGTCAAATTCAAACCGAAATTCATCATACGCCTAGTGGTACACAATATACAACCGAGTAGGTCCCTTAACCAAAATAACGATAATTAGGTAGTCATACGATGCCAAAAACACACTTCTGTCAGTCTGAGTATATGCGTGTGTGTATATATATATTTTGAGTTATAGATAGTTTACGTGGATGTTTGAGTGTGTGTGTTATAGCGTGCGTTAATCGGTTGCTGCTTTTTGCAATTTTGTATTCAGTTTGCGTTCGGTTCGTTATACTCATCTATTGCTGGATTTATACAAAATAAGTCAAAGTCTAGGTTTCATTATATGCGATATTAAAACTTTACACACACAAGATAGCTAAAAAACATTTGTCACCAACAAGATAGAGACGTATAATAGTAACATAGAGATAGAGAGAGATGGAAGGAAAAACAATCCTTAAGCTATAAACAATTTAAGCTTTGGGTGAAAATCATTACAAATGGGGGGATGAGTTTTTTGGTGGTGAGCCACCAAAAGAAACTAACGGGTTATGGGAACAAGTTTACAAATAATGGCAAGTACTACGTTTATACGCCAGCTTTAAAAAGAAATAAGAGAAAAAACTAAAAACTAAATAATTGCTGATCTTAATAATTTCATTTAAACATTTTAAATTCGAAACAACGGTTTTTGTTAGAAGAAATTCGTAGATAAATGCTCTTTGTTCAATTATGCTTAATTATTCAACAAGTAATTCAAGAACGAAACCATTATGTGAAGAAAATTTAGATGATGCTCGATGAATCGTTCAATTTTTAATTTTACTTAACTAAAAATAAAACATCATCAGTTTTAACAACAACCAGAAAGGTCTTTTGTCTTTGAAAGTTTCTTTGATGAGTAAACAAAGCTTTAAACAACAATTTTAATAATTTTAGATGACGAAAATAACCATAAACCTTGATTGTCCAATCAATAGTAAGAGCATTCTACAGTTAAGGCGTGCGTATAAACGTAGTAACGATTTGGGATGGGATAACTATAAATTAGGGTGCGCTATAACTACATTCGCAGCGGAACCAACTAAAGTACAAAGTAACAGCTACAGCGGACTAACTACGGCGGGATCGCGGGTGTTTTCTTTTTTTTTTTTTTGTGACGGAGTGAAGTCCACGGCGGACTCTACTTACGGCGCGAATCCATGCAAAGCGGCCGCGTTGTTGGCCGCATTGGCCGACGCAGCCATGGAAGCAGCAGCCGCAGCAGCAGCGGCCGTTTGCGATGATTGTGTGGCACCGGAGGCCGCCGATAGACGGGCGGCATAGGCGGCGGCGGCGGCAGCAGCGTTCGGATTACCGCTCGGATTTTGGGCAGCAGCCGCGGCCGCAGCTGCGGCAGCCAACGATTGTTGCAACGCGGCAGCATTGCTGGCTGCTGTGGGCACGGCGACCGCCTGGAGTTGCGCCAACTGCGGACCAAGGGCGTGGGCATGAGCGGCATGCATGTGCGGATGCGAAGCGGCAGCTGCGGCGGCGGCTACGGCGGCATGTTGCTGTTGTTGCTGCTGCTGTTGCTGTTGGTGTTGCTGCTGCTGCTGTTGTTGCTGCTGCACCGCCTGCTGTTGCTGCTGCTGCTGTTGCTGGTGATGCTGCTGCTGGGCGACGACAGCAACCTGCTGCTGCTGCTGCTGGGCGACAACGGCCTGTTGCTGCTGCTGCTGTTGGGCGGCTGCTGCGGTTGCCACGGCGGCGGCGGCCAGCTGGCGTTGCTGCTGCTGTTGGGCGGCGGCGGCGGAGGCCGCCAGCAGCGCCGGATGGTGATGCGGATGATGGGGATGATGGTAGGGGGCGGCGCCGACCACGCCCACGTGTCCGCGCTGGATGGCCACTCCACGCATTGCGGCGGCAACGGCGGCTGCAGGAATCACCGAACCGAAACGGAAATTCGTATTTGTTTTTTTTTTTTTTTTTGGGATTTTTATATGATTTTTTTGTTTTTTTGCAACCATTTGACACAACATTTTTGACCAGTGTGTTTTTTGTTCATATTTATGCGGTTTTTTATTATTTTTGGTTTATGTGTGTGTTTTGTGTGCAAAAAGTAGAAAAAGGAAAAGAAAAGAACATAAAACGCATGCGGTTAGTTTTCGCTCTTGATATATAAGTAAATATTTATATATATATATAGTATATAGTATGGCAAATCTAGGCATTATGTAGTAACGATTTTTGTTTTGGTTTATATTCATAGCGCTGAGATGATGTTGGTATATACATATAACAATACATAAGACATACGTGTAGCTCATACATATGTAAATGGGATTTATATCGAAACATACTTAAACATTAGAACACTCAATTACCAAGAAATGCTACGCCGTAGTTGCATTTTATATTGCATAATTGTATATATATATAGAGATATGATCATCAACAATACGAAAAAACATTGGACCGATCTTTAGTACAGTAGTATATAGCATATGTACATACATCCATTTTTGTACGTATGCGGCAAGACCTTTTTTTTTTTTGTTTCAACAACTCATTGCATTTTGCTGTGTATGTGAGGGATTAAAAGCATTTAAGTAAATAAAATACATTTAATGTTTATTTAATCCTTGCACCTTTCAAATACATTTAAAACTAGCAAGAACATTTACCAAGTGCTAAGTGGAATCATAGAACAAGTAGGCCGAATGAAAGGATAATTGGGATTCGGAGAGGGGGATTCTTTTTGGATAAAACAATTTTGTATGGGGTGTTGAAAGGATAGAAATTTGGTTTCATGCTGAAAGGGTAAATCATAAGATTGTTGTTTTAAAATCTCTGTCCGTAATTATGACAGATAAGAACCAGAGAAAGAAAACGAATCATTTTAGAAAAATAAAATATTCGATGTGCGATGAATAAAAGTACAACACAAAAGATATCTGCTTTTGTTTTAAATTTTTTCTTTTGCTACAATTAAAGTGTATTTTATTCGTAATCGAACCACACAAGCCACAGTTTTAATATTGTACTTTTATTAATTCCACGCGGTTTTATCACTCAATTTATAATAATGGCATATGCTGGCCATATAATTACCAATTTCGCCAGAAAGCCAGCTCATTATGATCGGCCACAGGTATGTGTTCGCGTTGCGACATTTTCACAGCGAATCATGGCACAAATCATAATTGAAATGTATGAAAATGTTTTTCGGCTTTGAATTTCAGAGGTGTGGACTCCGGTCAGGCTACATTGCGCCACAAATTGAAAATTTGTTTGACCAACATGCAATCAAAAATTCGATTTGCCATATTTGTATGCAAATTATTGGAGGAAAACTTAAAACATGTATGAGTGAGTGTGCCAAAGAATTTTCTAGAAAATGTTCATTGAATTTGAGGTAAAATATTTTGCTAAAATGCTGTGCTAATTTACGTGGCCATACAAATTAAATGCTTTGGCAACGAAACAACCAAAGAAACAAAACAAATATTGGGGAAAGTCTAGGTGGCATGCAATAATCAATTTTAAAAATTCCATTCGATTTCAGTTTTTTGCGAATTTTTTTTTGGCAAATTGAATTCGTGTTCTTCTCAAATGTTCAAAGCCAAGTAACAAAGGCAAACGAAAAATTCGAAAATCGTGCAAACTCCGAGATTGTTAAACCCAAAATCAAACAACAGTTAAAGATTGGGGAATAGTTGGGCAGAGAGAAGAGAAAGTACGAGAGTATGGTTGCTAGGGAGAAATGCTCTAAGAGAAAGGCCTTACGAAAAATGCTTGCTGCGGCAAAATGTTCGCTACCGATAAAACATTACGATATATTCGATAGTTACGATATAGAGTTTAGACTATGGTTAAAGCTAAGACCTTGCCATTCTTAACAGCTAGTTACGGTTACAGTTTCAGGTGGTTGCCACTAGATTTATTGATTGAAAATATATACTGCTTCGATCGAGTGTTTCGGTGTGAGTTTGTGTGTTGTGTGTGTGCCTAGTCCTTGGAACAATGCAATCTCCAGGACGCCAAAAAGTATGCAATATTTATGGAATATATCGATAGTCAAATAGTCATACCCAAATGCGTAAACCAAAGTAACAAGACAACAAACATTTATACTGTATTATGGTACAAAGATTCTCATAGCTAAAGAGTTGGTGATCTTGGTTCTGGTTCTAGTTGTTGTTGTTGCGGTGTTTGATTAATACTTTAGACGGTAAATTGATTACTGACGCTTACGAGCAAGCTTCAATTGCGGGCCTTTAATTTATATATAAAAAAAATTGACCTTTTAATAGAAATGGTATGCCTCCAAGCTTTGATTGCGACTCATACTAGAACTTTTGTAAAGATATTAGAAGATTTATGTTTTAATTTTTAAATTTCTTCCACGTTTTGAAAGTTTGTTTCTTTCTATAAAATTTAAATTAAGAAAGTTTGCAATTGCATACGGGTAAACATATAGTTTTCATTGCACTATACCTGTTAGCAATAAGTTTTTAATATTTTTTTTAAAAATATTTTTACTTTGCAAATAGCTTTCCCATAAACGTAGTAATCAATTTTCTTCTGATGCTTTTTGAATTCTGCTTTTAGGCGCATCGTTTTCACCAAAGGACCTCGAACCGAGGATCCTTTTTGGGACACTTTTGTTTGTTTGGTCGTCGTACCTCCGCCGTGTCGTTGCTGCTGTGGGCGCTGCTGCTTGGACAGCGGTATGCGGTGGGCGTGGCGCGAGCATTATGGGCGTGGCCGCCGCTGCAGCCGCTGCATGGGCGGCGGCCGCTGCTGCCGTTGCCGGCGATGTGGCAGCCGTACCGCTCGCAACGGCCGACGGCGCCTGGGCCATCTGCATCGAAACGGGCAGCTGGAGGTGGGTGAGGGCGGGGGCTCCGGCGCCAACGGGGGGCGCCCAAGAACGGCCAGGCGGCGACCGGCAGGCGGTAACCTTGGATTTGGCATACAGGTTTCAATTAAGTTGGGTTTTCATTTGATTTTTTTTCTTTCGATTTTGTTTTTCTTGCTGGTCACCATTAAAATGAACTTAGAATGCAAGTGTTAGGTGTGTGCGTGGGGATTTTCTTTTTTTTTTTTTTTGGTTGTAATATATTAAGTATGTATATACATATTCGAGGGATGCATGATGAGGTTGCTGTTGTTGTTTTGTTGTTGCTTTTGGCTTAGTTCTAGTGCTAAGTTAGACTTTTGGTTGGATCTTGGCGCGCGACGATAGTTACCAGTTACAGTTACGAGTACGAGTATAAATAGTTTTACGCTAAGGAGCATTTCAGACATGTTCAGACCAAAGGAATACCAGACCAAACGTAAAACGTGTAATAACAATAATGTAAATCAGGACAACAAAGAAGTACACAATAATCAAAGTCAAAGTCAAATTCAAATTCATAATCATAATCATAATGGAACACACATACAACGAAACTGGTTAAGAAAAGGATATGTAGATAAAGTAGTTGGCATATAAATTGGTATATATAAAGTATATATAGTAGGTAGTATGCATAAGACAACACAGCCGCAATATGCTAAACTCATAACCATCAGTATAATGATCTCAGTCATTGTCATCAGCATTATTCGTCATTATCGATTATTAATATAAAATCAGGACTAGATAAAAAGTGGCGGACGGGCCTGCTTTAAAAACGGGATTTTCGAGCAGGTGTTAATGTGGCTTTTTATGATTTCAAATTCAATTTCTTTTGGTTTGGTAATTTTAGCTTGCTTGGTATTTTCACTTTGATTGAACTTTGGTTATATGCAGACGAAAAAACAATAAATAATACGAGAAAAAAAATTGTTTAAATGTTACAAACGGGTTTCAAATAAGTTGCAGCATTATATTTGTATATAGATTGTATGCATAGTTTATATAGTTTAACGCAATTTCCGTCGGGACCTACCAACAAAAAAAATAAATCATGTTACATATTTCTATTCAAACAAAGGAAATGCTCGTAAAAATATATACTTTGTCCAAACATATTTGCAGATTGCAAAAAAAAAAAAAAATAAAACTAAGAATAACGAACAAATGCAATCGCAAAAATGGTTTCATTTTGGTGAACTCTGGACTTTTTAATCCTCCCGGCGATGACCTACACATAGGCTTTAATATCAATATCAACATTTGTGCCCTGCCTAAATAGTTATGTTTTTCATTTTGGTCCTTTGGCTTACAAGCTAAAAAATTCGTTGATAAAACTCTTATAAATACATGTAGTTTTATATGTATGTTTACAGAAACAAAAACTGGTCAATTATTGTACATTTATGATAACTTATTGCTTCTCTGTGTGGGCGTGGTGTTTAATAGTGTGTATTATTTGAGAATATACAACGAAATTACGGCAAGCAATAAATACGTAATAATAGCAATAAAACACTGAAGAGAAAAGTGTGGAAAAAACGCTTACCTTCTGGCCACTGTACGCAGACTGTTTCCATCAAGGGATTTATATATTTTTGCAAATATATTTTGATTGTGTTTTATTATCGTTGGCATGGAAAAGGCAAAAGAAAATATTTTCATTAGTATCGCATTTAAATAGGTTTTTTGTTTCGTTTTTTTTGTCGGGTTTCCTATAATAAATATTGTCGGATACATGTCTTAGGCACATAAAAAACAGGCAGCTCTATAACATATACAAGATTGATTTTCTTTTTTAGTGCTTATGGTAATTGGTTAAATACTGTAGAGTTCTAATTGATTTGTGGCTTTGTGTTTTCATTGTTTGCTGGTGCATGCAGCATCCTTGTGTTTTCTCTCATTTGGAATGTGGTATTTGCATACATATGTGAATTTAAAATTTGCTTTTCACACAGAGAAAAAAAAGGTAGAGAAGCTCTTAGTAGAGAGGAAAGGGTTGTCGGAAATTTTTAGTGAAAGTGAAAAAACACTTTGGATTATAAAAGTATTTGATAGATTTTCACCCGATGCATTTATTCAAAAGGCATTTTACTCTCTGTAAATTTGAGCTTTGCATTCATTGCGAATGCAAGAGAAACGCTTAACAAAATGACAAATAAGCAAGCAATGATTGCTTCCTTCCACCGATCGAATGCTTACACAATGAGCTGCTGTCTCTTTGTGCTATGGAAATTCACAGGAGTCAGCTGCAATTGCCTTGGAAAACGGCAAAATAAATACCCGAAAATACCATCGAAAAATGCAGTAGGAGACATGTCAGGCAGACAGACAGAAAGACACCAGCGTAAAGGACATGTTTGGGGGAAAAAGGGAGCTAAGTAAAGGGGCAAGGCGCATTAAGTTTAACATGTCAAAGGATGAACGCAGAAGAGCACGAAGCACGAAAAAATAAAACACCAAGAAAGTTAAAATGGCAAGAAGATGAGCCAGAAGTCAGAGGGGGAAGAAATTGTGCGGGAAAATCAACCTATACGAAGTAAATTTTCTTGCAAATGCACAAAGTAAGTGTGTGGGGTGAACATTTGCATAAGACATAACAAAACACAGGGCTGGGGCAAAACGTTCTTGCCCCAAGAGTGCTACTCCGCCCCAAGGATAACCAGAAAACTTTACTTTTTTGCTAAATTTATGGTCGCTGAGTGTGTTTGTGTGTGTGCGAAAGTGGTTTTGTTTTGCCAGCAGGGTGAGCCACCACATGTTTGCAACTTTGTGGTTTATTTGCAATTATCCCGACTGCCGCTTGACTGACTGACTGAATGGCTGACTAACTGACTGACTGACTGACTGACTCTTCGCCTGACTTCTCTGGAAACCCTGACTGGCGCCTAACGAGCAGGACAACGACGTGAGACGTCCTCCGGCTGGGTAATAATGCAGCAGGCGATTTGCCATGCAAAAGAAGCCCGTTCGAAACGTGATAAAGTGACTGCCGGGATCTGGAGAAAATAGAGCTCTGCTGCCCTTTCGATTCCTTCTTCTGACTGCACTTGGAATAATAAAAAATAGACTCCTTTTATTTTATAATAAAATATTCATTATTTTATAAATGGCTCATAAGCTTTGGAAGTATTACTAAATGTTCTAGAATGAAATGCATCTTCCTTTATTGGTTTTTTTTATTCCGCCAATATTTTTTTTATTGCTCAGTTCCAGTAAAATAGCTATTTTTATTGCAGCAAACAGACACTTTTTTTTTGAGCGTACCATATACTGAGATGGGCTGCGACAGTCGGTAAACTTCTTGGGCTCCCAGAGCATTTAGTGCAACGCAAATGAAGCGCATTAGGTGCAAGTGCACATGGCCAAAGACAGGGGTTAAAAAAGGGGTTTCCGGGCAGGGGGGTTTTGGGGGAAAAATGGCAAACATGCTCCTCTGCCCCGTCATATTGGCCTTTTTGCGTCCGAGTCTAAGTTTTGTTGGCAATACAAAAGCATTTTGCATCAGCAGAAGGATAACCGACCACCAGGGACCAGGACCATCAGCTGTAGACGGAGATGGAGCAAAAAGCTGCCAACGTCCTGAGCCGCTTTACCAGGATGCTCCTCCCCTTTCCCCGCATCCCGTCCCATCTTGTCCTTTTCAATCTCATGCCTTCGGTTCGGTTTCGGTTTGTAAGCGGCTTATCGTATTGAGCGTACCCAAAGTATAGATTTTGCGCTGTGAATACTTTTTAATGGCAAACAGAGAGAAGACGATTTAATCAGTAGTATTATTTATTATACATTGCCGGGAAAACTTTTCTCGGTTTCAACTTCCTACGTCCTTTTTATAGTTCTTTTGTCCAAAGAGGCAAAGCAGAAATTCAACTGGAACTGCGCTAAACTGCAAATGGTACAGCAAATAACTAAGAACTTCTAGCTGAATGAACTTTAAGACGGATATATTTAATTCTTGTATTTAGAAAGATATTAACTCAGAGAAGACCACAACAATTTCAGGTAAATAGCTAGGCAATCAGAAGGAATTAACATGGATCAAAGATATTTTCGAAAAAAGGAAATATAAGTCGGCAGACTTTTGGGGAAAGAGTTCTATTGGGGTGAATAAGAAAAATACAAGTAAAATCCACTTTTAAAAGAAACAAACATTTTTAAACTCGATGAAATGTTGTCTAGACAGTTTTATCCTATTCAATTGAAAACACATTTTGTTTAAGGTGTCCAAGAAATCTTTAGTAATCCAAAGACTTTTAAAATGTCTTTAAAATTAAATTGTATTCAGAAAATTAAAAATAAAAAAAATTTTAGAGACTTTACTATAGATTTTGTGGCACACCTACGTTTATATCTCGACATTTTTTAACATGCTGGGAGATATGTAAACTTAAGCTTATTTAGCTTAACTTGTGGAGTATATTGTTTGGGGCGAGTTGTAAAATTTTGATTTCATTCAGCCAATAGAGGGTGGGCGAGTACAATACACAGTTAGCAACAGTTAACGTGCAACATGCCAAGGCATCTCTGAGGACCTCTCAGTAAAATCTAACGATTATATAGAAGGGCGGTTGGGATCGGAAGCTGCAAGCAGCGAGCATTCGTGTCATAGTTAAGTTTACTTTTATTCTGGCAGGCACACAAGTTACAAAAACAAAAAGTTTACGAAATACGTTCATTATTTCATTTTGGTTTTTGTTTTTTTTTTTTTTTTTGGGTGGAGGGGTTTGGGGTTTAATTCTTTTTTTGGATTTGGCTCACCTAGAGCTGGGGCCGGTATGGCACCATCTTTGGTCAGTACAACTGTGTGGGGTGTTTGAGAGAAAACAAAATAAAAATCATATAAATAACGCTGGTCAATCAATATCATCATCATCATCATAAATATCATAGTCAAAGCAGACGCATTAAACATAACTTAATCGAAACCACAAATACGCATTAATTCGATGTGTATTAAATATTATTTTGGTGTGTCTCAAATGTGCGTTTAGTTAGGCAGCCGCAAAACCCCAAGAAATTAAATTACAAAAATTAACAAAAAGCAAGGGTGTCTATTGAATATGGGTTGCCCACGAATTAGTGGCATTTGCGTTAACAACTTTTTTGATTGCTTCAAGCCGGGAAACATTTCTCTAGCGTGTGCTGCCAACGCAAAAGGAGAGAAAAAAAATCGTAACATTTTCATTAGGAAACACACATTCGTCGGCAACACAATTTCTCAGTTTTAGTTAGTTTCAGTTTTTGGCCACCAAAGAAGTTGATGTGAAAAGTTCCAAAAACAAACAAACAAAACAACAACGAAGAACAAAAAAAACGAAAACTTGAGGAATGTTAAGAAACTAAACACAATAGCAGCAAAAACAATGCGCACTTAAATTGAGCAGACTTTTATTGCTATTTTCGTAGCTTCTTCTACTGCTGCTGCTGTTGCATTTCATCGTAATTGCATTTCTTTGCCGAACATTTGAACTTGTTTCATTATGTGGCTTAAACATAGCTGCCATGTATGTGAATATCTATGTAGGTGTGTGGGTGTGTGAGATTACATGTGGGTGTGTGTGTGTGTGTGATATAAGTGTGAGTGTGTTAGGGTCACTTACCGTTGGGTACTGTTGTCACTTTTTTGGTTTGTACACGTGCAGTGGCGTTATTCACCTTCACAATTGGTTATTTTATTTTATTTTTGAAAGATCAGCGAGCGTGGTTGTTGTAGTTGTTGTTGTTGGTTTGGTGATGAGTTTTAAAAGATTTTTTATATCATATACACACATATGAGCAGAGTATATATATATTTTTTTAAAAGATCGCATGTATAGAGAATGTAAAAATAAATTAAGTGTTAGTTAACAATTACGAAAATATTTGCAAATAGTGTTTAAAGTGTTTGTGGGAGGGTGTGTACTAAAAAATGCTTTAATGATATTTATTTAAAAAAAATTGTCATTTATTAAAATAAAAAAAATATAACTTAACGTTTTTCTCTATATTTAAGTTTGCATTTTAAAGCATTAAGTAATGTTGAATAAAAAAATTGTATACTAATTGTGCGAAACACTTCAAGAATAATTATTCGTTAAAAATCTCATAAAAATAACAAAGGCTTCGTTTTCAGGCAGTTATCACAGCTGAACTTTATTTAAATTTCATTTGTTTTCATTGGTAAAATAAAGAAAATTAATTTTTGAAGGCTTTCAGCGAGCGGACGGACATTCGTTTCCGTTTCCGTTTACGCCATGTATATACTACATATACATATACATATATACATGGCAGCCATTTGTGGACACAGAGACTTAATTAGACTCGCGCGATTTCCGCTGCCATTTGGCAGGGAAATAACATTGCATTTCAGCCTTTTATGCGGCTCAGTTAATTTGTTTAACCAACCGTAGGACAGGCGAACCTTTCCGCACTTTGCGCATTTTCAGCATATTTTAAATGCCAATTATTTGCGGCTCACCCAGTGAGCATTAATCAGAAGGGAAGGCGAAAGGAAAAATGTGTAATTAATTTTTAATGAAAGGCAAATAAGAATCAATCACTGTGCGCTAGTCCTTCGGATTAAATGAAACCGAAAAAGGAAGTGGTATTGGAGCATTTTTAAAGCCATATCGCTCTGACACGCAAGGATTAAAAGTTGAAAAGCAATTTCTTTCCGCTACTCCTGCGATGCGATACGATAGATATGTATAATATAGTTTCGGTGAAATTAGTTGGGGGGATGTGTCTGTATGTGTGTGTGTTTATTGTGTGTTGGTAAGTTGTATATGATATGGCATGCACCCACCTCGATTTTGCGTCCCTCAACCACGGTGCCGTGTAGACGTTCGCGTGCTCGTTCTGCATCGTTGCTGTTAGCGAATGTTACAAAACCGAATCCCTGCCATTCGCAATCAAACATGCAATTAAAGAAACATATAGAGTATATAGATTACGATTTTTAAAATAACTAAAAAAAATAACGATTCGGTACAACAAAGTCTTCTTCTTCGGGTTTCGTTGAAGTCGTATGTATATATAATTATTTATATAGAATAGATAAAGCTAAAGCTACAAATACATCAACAAGGCGGCCAAGGACATGCTTTTCGGACAGGGGCCATTGGCACATCTTTTATACTCCTGGGTTTTAAGTAGAGGTTTCTTGGATTGGTTTGGGATTTCGGGTGTTGGGAGGTTTTTTTTTTCTGGGGTGGCGACTGCGACATGCACGTGCCCTACTTTTTGCACTCTACTCCTCTACTCCTCCCTCCGCCTCCTGCTAAACTCATCCCCTCGCTCTCTCCCGGTCTCCAGAAAAACTCCCCAAACATCTCAAGGTGTTGGGGCTTCGGTCCTGAATTATGCACAATTCCCGCTGCCATGGTAACTATGCAATTATTTTCACCAGGCTCCCAACCGGGCATAATAATGCTGGAAAAAAGGACAGCTCGACACGGTTGCCCTGGCGACGGACAAAGACATCTCATCTGGGGATACTTGAAGTGCATAATTTAAATGAATTGTGCGACAATTAGATGCAAAATGTCCCGCACAATTGGCGTCAGAGCGAGATAGAGACACTGGCGCGAAAGAGAGGGGCTGAGAGCGAGCAGGCAGGCGATTTCAACTGCAGGAGGAAGACGACGAACTCTACGAGGATGAAAAGTTTAGCGAAAACTCACCTTGCTGCCGCGCTCGTTGAAGATGATTTCCACATCAAGAATGGTGCCAAATTGCTGGGGAATAGAAAAATAATAAATATTAATTTTTGGAAAGCTTTCAAGGGTTTCACTTTAAAGTTTCATTTTCTGGGGAGCATCCACTAAACTTTATAAAAACTTAGTTTTATGAAAATATCTTTTCTGAACATTAAATTATTGAAGCTTTAATCGCTGTATCAATGTTGAATTTAGTGGTATTTGATTAAAAGGATATATTAACTTGGTTACTACTGTTAAAAAAAATTGTGTTAATATGAATTGCCTTATAAAAAGACATTGAAAAATATTTATATATTATAATTAAATAAAGTTAGTGAGCTCTGGATGTCTGCAATCTGCTGGGTTTATCTTTTTGCTCATTAGCAAATAAATTATTTGCATTTAAATTATCCACCGTACTCACCCCGAACATGGCCCTCAGATCGGGATCCCGGAAGCGGAACGGTATGTTGGAGACGTGCAGCCGCTTCGGCTGGCTCTTGGCATCGAGGGAGGCGGCGGCGGCAACGGCGGCGGCCACCGACGGTACCGCCTGGGCTGGGACTAGAGCGCTGCTGAGACTAGTGGCCACGTTCGCGGTGGGCGACATGATGCCGCTGGCCGCCGCGGCGGCTGCGTTCAGGTGGGCGATCACCTGCGATGTGCTGGCCGGTACAGAGGCACAACCGGCCGCTCCGCCATTGGCAATGCTATCCAATCCGGTGGTGGGCAGAAGTCCAACGCCACTGCTGCTGGTCGACGCCAATGTGCCGGATGCTATCGAACTGCCCGTCACTGAAGTTCCCGCCGATTGCATCGATGTGGGACTGCTGCACAGAAGTGGTTGTTGCTGCTGCTGCTGTTGCTGCTGTTGTTGCTGTTGCTGCTGCTGCTGCTGGTGGGTGGTGGGCGGCGTCTGCAGGAGCGGTTCGCCGCTGGCCACCGGCGATGTATCCCCGGACATTGTGCCTTCGGTGGCGCTGCCGTTGAGGGTCAGTCCGCATCCGCCGGCCTGCGAGGCTGTTGCGCTGGACGGGGAGCTGCTGAGCGGTGAACTGGGCGTGCCACCGCCTCCACCGCCACCGCCGCCGGTATTTACGCCCCCAGAATTGGGCATGGCGGTGCTCTGTTGTGTGTCTGCTGCCTCATTGGCGATCAATACTGTGGACTGCAAAAAAAAGAAGGAAAATATAATAAAGTTTGTGTAAATTTTCTAAAATTTATCTTTAGTTTAAGAAATAAAATTACAGTTTAAATATTACCCTCATTATAGTTTATTAATAAAAAAATAAAAATAAATAAAAGATTTCTATACAATAAAATAAAAACTTTAAAAACGAATAATAACTCCTATACAGATAACTTGTATTACCCATAAATATTTTCTAGCGAAAAAATTAAAAATTGTATGACATTATAAATGTTTGGTATTATTTAAAGAAAAGCGTTTAAATAGCAATTTAAAATTAAGAAAAACTAACAAATAATAATTTCCACAATTCTTCATAGTACACTCTCTAATCAAGTAACTCTTTGGTTACGTTTATTTAAAAAAAAAACATTTTCAAAACCCGTAAATGGAAATTAAATTTCGCAATCCGTTCTAGTGGGAAAGCGATTTTTGTAAAACTTTCAAAAGCACTCGAACTGTTTGCCGATGTTGTTTGCAGTTGGTATTTCTTTTTTCAGTTAAAATTTTCAGTGCTGCCTGGCAAATCGAATGCGAACAAGTGCCGCAATAAATAAACAATTGAAATGAAAATACAATTTTCAAGTGGTTTACATCCCCGGAGAAATGAAAATCCTGCGAGAGGGCGCAAAAGTGGGCCACACGCACATATGGGTGTGTGCATGTGTGTGTGTGCGCTGGGTTGACCCAATAAAAAAGTTGCACACATACCCAGACAGACAGGAGAAACAGGAGCAGAAAGTCCCATATATGTACGTACAGTACAATCCCACATATTTTGTGGCACAAACTTGTGTTGACTTATGCAATAAAACTGTCGCGCAAACTGTTGCAATATACCCAATACACCACATTGCAGCAGCACCAATCCCCCAAACGAGCCCGCGGAAATGTTTGCATTTTGTATTTCTGCATTATTAAAACTGAAAATGCACTGCCGTCGCCGAGTATTGTTGATTCAACGCCCCCACACTTCCGATTCCGATTTTCTCCCTGCACCGGAATAATATGAAAAATTCTCAATTTACGCAGGCGACCAAATTCGATGACAACGCAATAAAAACCAGACTGAACATCAGGCATCTACATAAAAAAACAAAAAAAAAGAGAAGAGAACAGAACAGAGATTGTGTTTGCCCCATAATGTAGGCAATAGAAATAACGCTTAACTTAATTTGCTGCGCATTGTTGACACATAAATCTAAACAAATTTTTCGTCCGCCCTGACAATACACATTTTTTCCACGCTTTGCATTTTTTTTTGTCGGTTTTCGGTTCGGCTTGCATGTTTACCGAACATTTCGGGACCAAAGTGAAATGGCGTGAAAAACTTTGGCCCCATAAATGGCCAACTGGCGGAGGTGGAGGGTTTATTGTTTCGGGTATCGGGTTACACGTAAATGACATTTAACGCTTTTTAGTTTATCGAAATGCTTTTGTGCGGCACGCGACATGGCTGAAAAAAGGTCGCCGGCATTGCTTTGATTCGGCATTAAAAGAATTTTTGCATAAATTTAAAAACTTTTTGCCAGCCAAAAGGCAAGAAATTTGTTCTAAATTGTTTTGATTTGAATATTTGACTGGGGTATTTTTCTTGAACTTTGAATAACTATTATACCGCTTTGGTTGAGAAGTTTAGATCGATTTAGATTGCAATTCGTGGCTTTAACGGTTAAGTCTTAATTTAACTTGGCATGGAAATATATCAAACTTTGATATAAGTCTTCGATGCTTGTCTTAAAATTAAATAAGAAGGAAAAAATTATAAGTCGATAATCCCTTGGGAAAAACGAATGAAATGTATAAGTATAATTTCGGAGTTTCTGTAATACCACAGCTGGTTTTAATTCCCTTCACTCAATTAATTATTTTAAAAACTTGTACAGCATCTGTTCTTGAAAGTTATAAAAAAAAAGTTTCCCGATGATGACAATGCACGCCAAAATTCAGTTACAAAAGAGTTCATGTTGAGGCAAAAAGCAGCTTTACCCTGGCCAGTCGGTTGGTCGCCTAATGAAGATGAGCATGGTAAGCAAATAGGAAAGCAAAATGGTAAAGGAAAACATGGTAGAACCAAGAAACTGGCACGTAAATTTCAATTGTCCGCCCGACTCTTCTCTATACATAAATATTTGCATATATTTGTGTTATTTTTTTTCTTTTTTTCATCCTCCTCCTCTGTTTATTTTATTATAATTTTTTGTTGGTGGCTGACTCACTATGCTGAGCACATTTTGTGGGGGCAGCGATGATTGCAGATGCTGCTGGTGTTCTGTTGGCTGCTGCACTTGGTCCATGGCATGTCCATTTGTCAGTGGATGCGGAATGGGACCTGGGACTCTTGGTTCTGCGAGGCTGCTTCCTCCATTGTACTCGTACTCGTACTCGTACTGTGTCTGTGTTTGTGTTGACAGATTTGTCTGTGATAAATTTTCAGATAACAACAAGGATTTGCGTTTTAGTTGCAGTTGCAGTTGCAGTTTGCAGCCTGTGTTTATCTCTCTTTTTTGGCTCGTGCGTGTGTTTGTGTGGAGGACTTGGATTAAGAGATAGAGTTTGAATGTGGGCTAAAAAACCAGACAGGCAGACAGGCGCAGGCGACCAACACCAACAATTTGCTTAAATGGGTAGCTTAATTTTTTACTCTCAACCGCTTTACAGCTGCTTAATTGCTTGGAACATGCCTTGAATATATAATTGTTACAGTTACCATGTAGAGATTTATAAGTATAAGAATATGAATCAAGACAAAATGCAGAGTGGTTAACAAACTAAACAAAGTCAAATATAAATATGCTGAACACTGAGTAGAACATATCCTAGGTAGATATGGAGCTAGCCAACTTATATTTCCAGTAAATAATATCTAATTAAACACACCAACTCCATAATTTACAATTTTGTTTTAATGAATACCGATACCATTTATACAAAATTAAAATTCACTTAATCTATACGTTCAGTAAATTTTAAACAAAGAAATTGAGTTCAATGAGTGGAAAGTTAAATGATTCGATTTAATTGGATTTATATCCTTTTCCTTAGCTTCCTGTTTCTCTTTAATTTATGATTTTCATTTAATTTATACTTTCATTTCTGACAGCTACGTCAATCGCTGTCTTTTTCTGTCAATTTATTGAATTTAATTTTCAGAGTTATTAAAAGTGTGGACGAGTGCAAATAAATAAATTTCTGTCGACTGAAGTTTTTGCACACTCAAGTGACTTAAGCCTTGGATTAATGTTAGGAATTGTTCACCCCATTTGCTTTAAATAACCACAGGATTCCGTCGGTTATAAATAAGCGTATTAAATTTTCTGTCCTTGTTTAAGTAGGGGAAGGTGGGGAATCGTGGGCCACGTTTATATTTTGTTAAATATCTTAACAAATAAATTTTTTTTTCCAAAATTGTAATATGGTATGTTATTCTACATTAAGGGGTTATATACCTTTTTGAGCGAAAAAAATTAGGGAACTTTGGATTTTTTTTCAGGTGTGTAGCAATTATTTTATGATACTGAGGTTATTATTTATTGATAGTACATGTTTTTATAGACACAACAAACGTTTGTTCTTAAAAAAATACAAATAACTTTCGAAGTTATGGCAATTCTCTCATAACCCTTTTTTTGTTATAGCGGCTTGCGGTGACCACGATGGAAGTCCAGCGGGTCAACTAAAATCAATAAACCAAAAAATATTTATTAGTTTAGTATTATTTCTAGTTCGTCATTGAATTACTTCAAGAATATTTGGTTTTTTCTGCATACAGTAACAATTTTTTCAAAAAATTAAATTTTCGAGCTCTAAAAATTTTATTAAAAATTTCTTATCTGCAAAATCGAAATTGCCGCATAAAAACTGATTCAATGACGAACTCGGCACAATCATTACGAATATTTAAAAAAAATTGAAGAAGATCGATCAAATAGTTCTTGTGCAATCGCGGTCACAGCAAAGGCACTTTTGGAAAAAAACGACTTTGAGATAATCGCATTCAAAGTTTTACGTTGCGTTACAAAGAGTGACGAACCGCGCCTCAAAACGCTGTTTTCCTATCGAACTATTATTCGGATCTCTTAAAAAATTTGGGAAAATGTTCTCTAGGGGATATACTTTAGGATTCAGCTAAAAAAAAATTTTCGTTTTTTTTAAAAAAAAAAAAGGTATATAACCCCTTAAATTAGGTAACTTTTGACTATTACACTTCCTTACAATTCTTTTGTTTTTTCCGACTTTTCGTGGTTTTTAAAAAAATGGTGTTTTGGCGATTTTCAAAAATGGTGGGGAATCGTGGGCCACCCCCGTATTTTAATGAAAATCAAACAATTATGATGCAAAACTTTATTCAATTAGTAGAAATGACAAGTACAGTTATTTTAATCGAGAAAATGGAGAAGGATTATGCACAATCAATCTGATACGCAATTATCATATTTTCCATAATATCGTGGCATTATTGCCGAAAACTAACAAAGAAATAGGAAAATTTAATACATAATATTTATTTATTGTTTTATTTATTGATTTACAGCCTCCATTTTGCACAAAACATCATAAACACAACATACCAATGTGATTGATAACAAAAAATTTAAAAACACGGGTGGCCCACGATTCCCCACCAAAAGTGGCTCACGATTCCCCACAAGCTACTTTTTGCAAAATAACGGCGTGTAATTGACTTGTTGAAGTGTCATGCAAAATTACTTTTGTATGTTGAAAAGGAAAGGTCTAACGATAATGTGAAACATATTTAGCTGTGTTTTGTCGTAGCAATTCGTCCAAAAATGATGGAAATAAAAACACAAAAAAGGTGTTGCCGATACTTTTTTTGGGCAAGTATTGTGCAAAGCGAATAAAACGCGTGCGTTTGTCAACAACCAATCTAAAAATGATTTCAGGTTAAAAGAAAACGATGACAGGTGCATTTCACTATTTATCTCAAAATACTGCCGACAGGTGGCGGTGGCTCACGTTTCCCCATGGCCCACGATTCCCCACTTTCCCCTACAATATTAATTGGAATTTTAGGTGTGTTTTACCGCAGGCCAGGCAAGCAACAGAAACAAAAACAATGCAGCTGTTGAAAGTAGGATATTTTATATCGTACAACGTTGCGTATGCGCATTGTTCACTTAAGCGAAAACATTATTGAATTAAATGCGACTACGTAAAACATAAGGACTGTGAAAAACACAACAAAACATATTTATTTCGATTGATCAATATTTGCTTATTTATTACACCTGCAAGGCATTTTCAATAAGCATGTGTTCAGATTTAGGATACATTGAAAAAGTACACCCAATGCTTTTATCTGTTAAATTATTCATATGCACGAAGCAATTTTCATAAGCAAATACCTTTTGGTCAATAGCTAAACAATAATTTGTATTTACCCTACTGGTTAGACCGAAAACTGCCGATTCACCATTTACAAACTGAACTTTTAACACAAAAACAACATTTTTGTTTGATTTGCTTAAAGTTGGTAAAATATGTAATGAGGTTTGTGGGATGCAACGGATTCGGGCGGTCTTTCAGACGGAAAGTCTATGCCACTTTTGGCCAGCATGTGTGCCAAAGTCAATTTTTAATTAGAAGCGCAGAAACAATAAACTACAAAGCAAACTGAAATCCAGCTCCAGGGTCAAAAAAGAAACACGACCGACCAGCTACTAAAAGTATGCTACAAAAACGCCCAGCGCACACAAATGCAGGCAAAAAAGGTGAGTGTATCTGTGTGCGGGTGTGTGTTCGTATTTGTGGATGCCAGAGTGCGTGAGTGTTGCTTGCTGCTGGCACTTTTCTCTGTGTTGCTCGCTGCAATTAAAAATGTAAAGCAAAGCGCTCACACCAACAACAAATACAGACAAAACAAGAGCAGGTGCAACAGTGACAACAAGCACGGCCTCTTGTTTGATGCCCTGGCTTACACTGAGGAAAAAATAAGGAATATATTGATTGACGGATTTTAAATATTAAAGTTTTTCTTGTTTTATATTTCATTATGTTGCATTAAATAAAATTCCATTAAAAAAGAAACCCCATCCGTTCCACCTAAACGCTAAATATAATTATTTAACCAATATCCTATATTAGAAGAATAACTCTTTAACAAAATTTCCATACTTTGTTAAAAATGTATTATTACGTTTAGTCAGAGTAAAAAGAAGATGGTATGAATTTTTGGTAAGTGTAGCGTTAAAGTTCTCATGTTTGTGTGTGAAGGCATCTGTGTATTGAGTGTGCAGAACCAAATCAAAGCAGACCTAAAAACCAAAGCAGACCAAACCAAACCAAAGCGAACCCAAAAGCTAAAAACCAAACAGAGCTACAAATGCATATCAGAACACACACACAAACACAAACAGCGAGCGAGTGGGTGAAAGTGGGGAGGGGTGGATGAGTGGGTGGGTGGATAGGTGACTATTGGAAAAGGTAGGAGGAGGTCAAACAATTATCCAGGCAAACTCACCTTCTGTTGCATGTACAGCGAGGCATTGACAACGTCGGAAACACTGGTGGCCACCACCACCGAATTGGCCGATGATGCACCACCGCCCCCACAGCCAGTTGAATATTCTGCGGTCATTCCACCGGCGGATCCTGGCGTTCCTGCCGCCCCACCTGTGTTGCTGCTGCTGTTGTTGTTGTTGTTGCTGCTGCTGCTGCTGTTGTTGGCAGATCCTGCGGCCTCAACGCCGCCGATCGATTTTATTTGTGCCACTGGATCGACAGCTTGTTGTTTGGCCGCTGCCGCTGCAACCGCCATTGACAAACTGTCGGCAGCTGTGGGCGGTCCGCCGGTCACCTGTTGTTGTTGCTGCTGTTGCTGTTGGGCCGCCTGCTGCTGCTGCTGTTGTTGCTGCGCCTGCTGCTGTTGCTGTTGGGCGGCGGCGGCAGCTGCAACAGCCGCTGCTGCTGCAGTACCCGGTGCGGCGGCATAGCCGGCCGGAGCGCCCGGAAAAGGCGCCACGCCCGCCTGCACCATGTGCTGCATTTTCCAGTAAGAAAAACAGAAAGAGAGAACGGGGAAAGAGAAGCAGAGAGAGAGAGAGAGATGGGTTTATGGATTAGTAATGGTCGTAAAAGTGTAAGTTCCCCTATCTAACACTCGCAGAAAATCGCTTAAACAAACGTTAAACAAAAAACTTTATGAATCATTGAAACTCCCTCATAAAAAGCGTAATTTGATAAATGGATTGGATAATACGACTTTTATCTAAAATAGATTATAAACAGCCTCTTTGCTTTCATAACATGTTGACACACCCACTTTTATATATACAGTAATATCAAATTCGCCAATAGTATACAAAATTTCCAAAGAAATATTTTATTTTCAATTATTTTGGCTCTCGTACGTTGTGATAAAAAATATATACGATTCACTTGTGGTATAATTTTTTTTTTTATTAAATTGGCAATACAAGCTTTGGGAAATTCGAAACTTTGAAAGCAACTCCACAGAATTCTGGCATATATTCTATTGAGAAACGCTTAAAAAAAAAAAGTTTGCTCCATTTCAGACTGCATATTTTTAAACAATATTTTCGAGTGCACATATAAACTGAACATTATGAATATTAGTTTTTGCCCGGAGACACTTTTCATATCAGGTTGGCTTCCCTACTTCCACCCACTGAGTATTTTTCTATTTGTGAGTGTGGATACCTGCGCCGTAGAAGTGGAAAATTAAATCCAGGTAGTTTATTTTGCAGGTGGTAACCCCTTTGGGAGCTGGTCCACAGCTTTCCCCATTAAGCTCTTGGTTAGACAAAGGACAACGACAGACTGGCAGGCAGGATGTGGGCCGGGATTCCGTTGGGTTTTTTGGGGCGGGATAACAAAATGCGCTTTAAATTGTCAGTTTTATTTGTATAAATTTTTCCCATTATTTGGCTTGTCTCGCCCGGATTTCCAACCCAACCTCTGTCAGCAGCTATGAAATATGCAAAATTTGCAGCTTATTGTTGCTTGTTGGCTAAATTCATACACACATATAGCAGCAACAAAAACAACAAAAGTAGCATCGGAATAGCAAAAGGAAAACCTTTCTGGATATTTTTTCGGGTGCTAAAGTGGCAAGGACGGGTTTATCGTGTGAGTGGCATTTTAATATGTTTTAGCTTGGGAAAATCGTTGCCTCGGCTCCCAGCTGCTTACATGAAATGGTTATTAATTTTGAAATTTAATGCAAATGACACAGAAATGCAGGTAAGTGGATGTCTAGAATGCTAAATGCAGCAGAATATTTGCGTTTTTCAATTAAGAAAACGTTTCGTGTTGTACATGTCATTTGGTTGCGAAAACCGACTGCAATTTTAAGCTTATTTCGTTTAATTAGTGCTGTTTAAAAATACCCAAAAACGATTTTAAATACCTAGACGTTAAACTATTTCATCCGATGGACACAGTTCATCTATCTTGGCAAGCAGGCCATAAACCAGCTATTTCAACACGCCTCAAAAATATATATCAATGCGCCAATGGGTATCTTTTTTGTTTTGTTTTGTTTGGTTCTGTTTATTTTATTTATATTTATTTTGGCACAGGCCATCAAGTTGCAGTCGTCATATTTGTGTGTGCTCTGTTTTGGCTTCCCAGCGATTTATGCTTTGAAAAATTAGCTTGTTAATTAAATGCAAGCCACATATGACAAGTCGGCGAGGTGCAAGTATCTATGCCCTGTGCAATTCCCCCATTCTGTGACATAATCTGCAGTGCAAATTGGTACTCATATTGCTCATACGCCACGTTGGCTAACCCATGATATATGTGCTCTCATACAGGCGCACTACACCGATTTATAAACGTACAACTAAACAGCGAAATGAGAAAAAGAAGAAAAAATTGTCATGTTAAATTTACATAAAATGTGTATGAAAATTCATTCCGTTGTGCCAATGAAAATGTTTTCCCTTCACTTTTCCGCGCCGGCAGCTTCTGCTTTTCCGACAGCCCGCTGACGTAGGGAATGTGCTGACTTGCACTTGAGATCCGCCACCGTCTTCTTTTAATGAGTCTGCGTATGTGTCTGGTTCGTCTGCCTGAAGTTTTCCTTTCAAAAACTTCTCCCTTTAACAGCGCTCCCCAATAAGTTTCATAATTTTCTGTCAACCATTTTGAAGGCGGGGTCAGAGCACTTGACGCAAATACTTCGCTGCATTCGCAAATATTTTTTATTTAATTGCTCTTGAACAGAGGACCGGGGGCCAGGACAAAAGTATACTCTTTTATATATACTTTTTTTTTTTTGGGGGGGCCATATTTACATGGCAAATATTTCGCTCGGCACTGCGGCCCTGGCAATTTGCATTTGTAGTTACTCTGCAGGAATAATAACAAAAAAAAAAAAACACAACCAAAAAAAGAAAAAAACGCGGGCAACAAAAATTGTCGGCAGCTGGCACTGTTTTATTGACTGGGGCCAGCGCCAACTGCCATCGCTTTTTGTTTACATTTCGCCACTGTTGTTTTTGGAGAATTTTCAACAAAACACTTTACTTTCCCGTTTTGCAACAATTTCGCTCGCTGCGCTTTCAAGTAGCCGCTTTCAAGCGTTGTGTATACCAGAGATTTTTTGGCGATTCGATGCATAAAAAAATATTAGAGCAATTTTCCATTCTCATTAAATATATTGCGTTTTGGCAGCACACGCTGCGTATGCGTTACGCTTAAGTGTGTCACACATTCCACGGCTGGTGATTGATGGGCGCCGCAAAAAAAATATATTTATATACCTACAAAAACATAAATAATGAATGAAAAATGCGCTCAGATATTTGCGGGGGAAACATGAAAACAATCGTGCTGGAAAATGCATTTCAAAAAGAAGAAACTCTGGAAAAGTGATTGAAATATAATTACGCCATAAAGCTGAAAAAATTCAAGCTCCATATATATACATATATCAATTTTCCCTTATATTTAGTTTGGCTTTTTCAAACACTCTTACATTGCTTTCATTTGCAACGAACCCCACTTTGATCTTTACTTTTCCACAGTTTTACTTTCCAAGTAAAACATAATTTTTCTTTGCTTATTTTCGTTGAATGATGTTATCTTAAATTGAACCAAAATATTTTGAAAGAAACCAAACAAAGTCGAAAGGCTGCCACACTTGTCAGAAGTCAAACTAAATTATATATAAATAATGTGTGCGGTTTGAGTCGCATTACATCAACGGAATATTAATAAACCGTGACGTGAATGGCGAGTGAAATTTTTCGTGTGCTTTGACTGCGAACTTTCCTCCAAAGCAAAGTCGTCTTTTTTAGACGTGTGCGTCCGTTTCAATTAGCATTACCATCACCCATAATGTATTCCTGTGCCAACTCCCAAGTTTGAACCTGACACAGTCAGAAGGCATTTGACCAATTGCTCAATCGCTGACGCAATTCAGCGATCGAAGCGCCAATTTTGGCCTACGATGCAATGGCAAATTTGGGGCGACGCTCGTTAAAACGCCGGGCCAACTCGGTTGCTCATGCCGCGAATGCCAATTAAACACAAACAGAAAAAAAAAAAAAAACAAAGCGGTTAACAAAACAGCAAAGTCAATTGAAATTGAAAATTTGCCTAACACGCGCCAACCGATTGTTTGAATTAAAGTTTGGTGTCTTTGGGCTTTTATTCAACTTCTACCGATTTTTGGTGATTGCTCAATGGGCGGATAAATTGCAAGTGGGTCGATGCAGGTCACGTCTGTGTCACCCAGATAATGTTTGGAAAGTATTATATCGATGTCACGGCAATCTGTCAGTGCTTATTTTGGAGAGATCTGAGATCCGGTCAAGTTATTTGGCCTGGCCGAAGGTCACTTCTCCATAATTGCCACGGAAAGCAAATGCAGAACGTGCCAAATCAATTTACATGGCAATTGCAATTGCAATCGACATAGCCAGCCAAGGATATTAAGCTAGAGGAGAGCCAGTGCTATTGCAAATTAGGACACTACACAGGAGAGAGCTTTTGCTGCCTCTGTCAGGTTTCAGTTTTTGCCAACAGGAAATTGCAGCGAAAGCGTGTTGAAGTGTAAGAGGAAATTCAGGTGTGAGCGGGGTATGGTGTGTGTGTGTGTGTGTTGTGACATGTAATATGACTGCAGAAATTGCTATGGCTCTGAAATTACAGCGTGCGGGTGTCAGAAACCAGCTACAAGACACAAACACACATGTGCAGCATTCTCAAATCAACAGAACGGAAATTTATTTCAAAATACACAAAATGCCATGTTCGCCACTCTGCATCCTTTTAATAAGACAAACACTACATCATCGCAGTGCAAAAACACAGTAGAGAGTGGGTTGTCGGGTGGAAAATTAATGAAAAGCGCGTCACACGTTTCGTATACGTAATGAGCAACGAAATACAATAAGCCCGGTTTGCTTGTCTAGAATTAAAGCTCGGTTAACAGCTCAGGGACACGTTGCTTTTTAAGGATAAAACTACAATTTTCTATTATAACCAAAGTGGTTTTCACGATTTGTAATTTGTTTGCATACCTCAGATACAATTTCATTTTCCATTTAAAAATTGTTATCTTCATAAAAATTCATAAAAGAAAATGATGTTTGCCGATTTCGGATTTCTATCAAAGTGCAGAGATTTTTCCCAGATAAGTTCAGCATTGACCTTTATTTTAGAGACAGTAATCATAAATTAGTGAAATCAAATAACCATCGAATTACTTTTTCAAAAGGTTGAAATTCTGTATAGAAATTTTGATTGATTGTTTGTTTACCTGTCGGCTAGGCCTAAAATAAAACAATTTTGTGTATTGGAGCAGTGGTGCGCCAAAGAGATGTTTATTTTCCTGAAAAAGTAAAACTACTAGAAATTTTAACACTGCGCTTCGGGGAGTAATCTTTAAGCTTTGACCCAAAATATGAAATGCCACTGGTTATTTAGGGAAGCCACCCATAAAAATTCACCTCTCCCTCTTATTGCCCTAACCAAAACTTTACCAAATTGCTTGACCATTTTTGCCCATTAACCTTAAAGTTACGAAACGCACGGTAAGCCAACTTTATGAATGAAATTACGGCCTCCGCTGGCCAGAGAGGCGGGCAATAACTGACCAGGTTAGCAGTGGAAAACTGCCACTGCAAAACGGTAAACCCAAAACGTCAAATGCAGGTGCCTACAGCAGCAATATCCACAACAACGGCAAAACGCTTGGCAACGGGAAACGGCAAAAGCCCAACCAGGAAAAATAAAAACGAAAAGAATAGATGGCCCTAGGCAAGCTTGGCTAAGCCATAAAACCGGTTGGTTTAAAAATCGGGATATAGAAGGGGGAAAAACAAGAGGATGGCCAGTCGGCCTGCGCATCTGCAAAAACCAAAAGCGAAACTGGAATTGCAGCCCGGCATTTAAATGCGGTTTCTGTTACCTCGTGCAGACTTGTTTTTTTTTTTGTCTTTAATATAAGAAATAAGATTTTTTTTGCTGCTTTCTTAGGTGGCACTTCAGTGTGTCACTGGGCTGCCCACATAGCAGTTTCCATAGTTGTTAATGCCCCCAACCTAAAGATGCATCACGGCTGTTTTGATGATGATGATGATGCAGCTGAGGACTGGTTTGCCATTTAAATGGAATTTATGCTGCCTTACCCAAGTCGAAACTCCAACTCCGGGTCTGTCATCAATTGCCTTGCAGCTTTGCCAAATGAAGCATGCAGCGAGTGAATGGGAAAAAGTAGCACACACCAACACATACACTGAGCGAAAAGGGCCATAGTACTATTAGTATATATAGAACTATTACTACAGAGCCATGAAAGTACTAAAATAAGGTAAAGTTATAAAAACACAAAACCTTTTTGTAATATTGTGATATATGTTATGTATATCTAAACCTTTCTACAAAACATGCACAACTTTTCATTTTGTTTTATTTTATGGTTTCAAGGTTTATTCTTTGTGATTTTTAAATCAGTTACTAAAACTTCTAAGTGTATTTCTGAGCCCCCTTTTAGCTCCCCTTAAATGGCGAAGGCGATCAACTAAACCTTAATGCCAATGGAAACGTGAGAATGTCGCCGCCTCCGAGTTGAAGATGCACTTTTCATCCGCTTTTTATTCGGAGATTTTTATCGCCGAATTTCGATGGGATTTTTCTTTTGTCGCATTTAGCTGGAGGGCCAATGAAAAACTACGTGAAAAACTAACAAAACGTGAGCGGAAAATTAAATAATTGAAAAGCTACTGCTGCGCGTAAGGGGGAAAGTGTGCGAAAGGTCGATAGATAAATGCATTGTGATTATTCACTGGCTTAGCAAATGAAAACGAAATTGGCCATTGACCACTCGCTGTCTGCCATCGTACATATAGGTACTAAATCAGCACCGAAACCCTCGGCAGTAGCACAAAAATCAATAAAAATAAATGAAGACAAATATCGAAGGCACACAAAGACCCGAAAAAAGACAAAAAACCAACAAGGAAAAAAATACATAAAACAAAAAGCACAGAGATCTTCACGTTCTCTCAACTTGTCAATAAACAAGGCAAAATGTGAGTGAAAAAACTCGCACAAATACCAAATAAATTTTTATTTAAGAGCAAATGTTTGGCTATGCAAACGGCGTGCCACCAACAGACAGAAAGACTTGAATTATGGCAGCCGAACGATGCGTTGACAAGACCAAAGGAAATAAAAAACCAAAAATAAAGAGCAGTGAGTGGGTAAAAAAAAAAAAAACGCCGAAGAAATTAAACGCCCTGTCAATTGGCGCAACATCAAAAAACATCACAGCGCAAAAGAGATAAACTTTACTTTTATTTTCGCCTAAGCATGTATTTTGATGTGGCTTCTTTTCATGGGCTAACAGGCATCACGAAAGCGTGTCCAAAGGGCTGCAACAGCGGACCGCATTTGAAATGATGCGAAACCCATGCTAAATACGTGGGCCAACCAGAAGTATGGACACTCAACTCAGCATGTTTGATGTTCGACTGCGCTTTCCAAGTTTTCACTTTTAATTGGCCAAATTCCTTTCGGATTTGACATCGATTACGGAATAATGAAGTGCCAAACATAAATCACCAATTGAATCAGAAGCGAGCAATGAAACTTGGCGAATGAATATTCCGACTTTCATTTCGTAAAATACAAAAATGTTCCCTAAAAAAATTGAATGGGTTTTATTAGGTTAAATAAAATTGTAGCCAGTCTCTAGCTGTAAAACAAAACTGTTGAAACAATTATGTTGTGTATATTAATTTTTGTATTATTTAGCTTATCACTTCACATTAATTTCTTGCTTTATTGCTTAATCAGATTAATCGACTCCCCCAGGAATCCAACCCTCGGTCATTATAAGTCCATTTATTTCTCATCAGTCAGCTACAACATAATTGTTATTAATACGATTTTTTTCTTTCGGTGTGGCAGACGTGGAGTTCACTTGTCTTTCTTGAATTACCCCCGAAAAGCCAGACGACAATTGAACAGCATTTTAGCAGCTATTTCGCAACAAATAAACGACTGCCGTGATTGCAGCGATTGCAGCGAAATCGAGACGCTGTCCGCTGTTGTTGCCATTGATTGATTTGCCCTCTCAGACATTAAATGCAATCAATGTTACAATATTTGTCCCTTGGCCACGCCCAACGCCCGACGAAGTGTACAATAAATCAGGCAAACGCTCCTCCATCCAATCAATGTGGAACACCTCTTTAAGCGAAACCTTTAAGACCCTCTAGCTGATTTACACAGAGCACAAAATAAAAAACACGCAAAGCCCCAAGACGCTTATTAAATTGCCTTACAAAACAAGGCCCAAACAAACAGAACACAACAAAACAAAACAAAACAAAACAGAACAGAACGGAACAGAACGTAGGCAAATAAACAAGCAGCCGAAGCGGAAGGAACTAACGGCTGAAAAACAAAAGCTTACTTCCGGCCACCCATTTCACCTCCCCAAAACCAGCAACCTTTAAGTTTATGAAATATAAATGAGCTTTGTGAACATTCAAACAGTAAGAAATCCAAAATTACACGCAATTTATGGATGTGGCAGGTGCAGGAAGTGGGCGTGGCCGGGGGCCATTAAGGTGGCTTTAAAGAGCACGCGACAAAATAGCGATACACATGGGAAAAATCGATGAGTTGTTCAAAAACCCAAATTATGGAGATTTTTGGGAAATATTTATATTAAAAACAACATAATCATTAATTAAGCGAGGGACTTAATAACAAACAGATAAGAGTTTTATTTGGGAAAAAATATCACATTTCAAATTTTTTAATAAAAATATTTGTGATTTAATGCTTTCCAGAATTTCTAATATGAAAAAGTTGATAAGAAACAAAAAAATGATTATAAATATTTCTTAACGAATTTATTGGCAATACCTAACGATTATATCCCCCTGCAATAGCTACCCAAATCATTTTTTTTCTCTGTAATTAAAGGGTTTGTAACGTGGGCGTTGTACGGCAATTACCGTTAAGCGGATTGTAGTTTACACACTCTGTACGAGGTATACACAGGAACTAAGCTAGAACTAAATGCACATTCTTATGGTACGTTTTCATTTTCATTTTCATTCGCATTCGCCGACAGGCGTTATTGTTATGACCCACTGGCATTGCCACCTGTCTCGCTCTCTGCGCATTTTCACACTTGTAAATCAATTAATTTTCCATCTTATTGTGGTTGTTGTTGTTGCTGCTGTGGTTGTTGTTGTTGAAATGGCCACTGGTCACTTGGCTAGTGGACTACAAACTACCACTGTTTCTGCTACCATCACCTGCTGGTTGGTTGGTCATTTAGCCTAAGCGCCGGCTAAGCTTAAATGCTCAACTGCTGGCCAAGGATTGTGAAGCCTCTGCAGTGCCCAACTCAAAATCCAAAGTGTGTGTTCAGTTTCGGTGTGTTAGTAGGGAGTGTGTGTCTGTGTGTGTGGGAACTTTTGTTTCCCCCTTTGTTGTTTTGAAAGCAAATTGTTGGCCGTAAATGTTGGTTATTGTAGTTGTTGGTCGTTGGCTGGATTTTCTGATTTGCTTGAGCGGCGACCGTTGAAATGTAATTAATACCTGGCCCACTTGGTCCCACACATTCGGGGTCAATTGTGTGTAAAGGAGCCTCCGCAATGCGGTGGCCAAAAGGTGATTATTATGGCTCTATAGGCTGGCCAGGGTTAAGGACCCCGACGGATTAAAATTGGGAGTTTAAGCCATGAAAGGAATTTTATTTCCGACAACAGGGGATTTTAATGATTGTTCATGACGCTGAAATATTGCATTACATTTTTGTTCACTAATTAATTTGCATATTATTGTTACCAATTTTCAATTCGGTTTTAATATTCTGGTTGCCAATAAAAAATTTCCTTCATTAGGCAGGCTTTTCACAAAATGTTAAAATTAAATTCGGCACATAAAATTTAAAATTTTTACAATTTGTGTGTTAATACCACGAGTTCCTATATTTATTACTTTAAATTACTTTAATAAAATTTTAAGTAATAACTAGAGTATTCATTTAGGTAATTGACTAACAAAATCACATTTTTACACAAATATGTCAGTAAAATCATTGGAAGTCTCACCAAGTGGCCCCTTAAACTTCACAAAAATCAACAATACGCAAGAAATTATAGTAAGAAATATTTCCAAAAAGTCGGTAACCTATAAGGTAATTACTATTTTATATCCAAGAATATTTTGAAATATAACTAGACCATTTCCCACCAGCTGCAGAGCACAGTGCATGGAAAATTTTCAATACGACCCCGTTGGGGTGTCCTGAAGCCCATGGAGCACTCGCATATCCTCATAACCTTGTGCAAGGATGTGGAGCTTTCGAGAAAGGACCGCGACAAAATATTGGTCGTGTGCATGGCGGCGCCCATCAATGCGGTGGACTTCGACATGACCTCCTCCTTCTGGCGCCACAATATCTGCTACGATCCGAGTATCGAGAAGCACCAGCTCACCTGCCGTCAAGTTGATGGTGCAGCGGGCGATGGCGGTGCAAAGGACCCCGACAAGGACGATCTAAGGACACGCAGGGGGATTTTCACCTCGATACCCAGTATACGGACTCCAAGCAGATTCTGGCGGTAGTTTTCGATTGTTACCCTTCGTTACCCTTCCTACCAACTTGAGTGTCAATTATCCCGCCCGACTGTTTGGCCCTAATGCCCGCAATGACTAAGTAATTGGTTAGCAAGCCCTACCTTGTATTTCCGTGCGCCTCCTATGGGCCAACATTGTTGATGATGAGCCTTCATTAAAAACTAAGAGCTTGTCTATCTGGCTGGGTATCAAGTGGCTCGAAGGATGCTCAAGCATCCTGGCAGCATGAAGTGCGTTTACCCCACACAACTGCCTGATAAAAAGGCGTAAATTGCTTGCAGTTTGGGCGTGGGCATAGGGATTCCTGCCCCGGCAATTAGGGAAACGTTAACGAAGGCTCTTCAACCTTCGATTGACATTCTGTTGGGTTAACCAAGTTGCTTGACAATTACCTAACCAGTTTTTAAACTTGAAGCAAGGAAAACTAGAAAATGTTGGTAAATATGTTTATCTGCTTACAGAAAAAACTAAATATTCAATTCATAAATCAACTTTATGAATAAGCAACTTTAATCAGAGAGAAAATTCTTTTAAGCATTGCTTTAAGCTCCTTTAAAAACTGAAGTTGCATAAGTCTGGCTGGCTTTGTGTATCTTCCTCAAGGTTTATGTGCTAAAAGAGTGCTTCTTAAAAGGAAACTAAAGCCAACGAGATAAAGACATTTGGAAACTCTGCTCAAAAGGCCAGCAGCTTGAAAGGCACTCAGCCAGTAAATTAGGTTCATGTCTCAACTATAGTTTTGACCCAAGTCCAAGGGGCCAAAACAAACATTTCGATGGAGATGATGATGATATGGACTTCGGGTTTTGCGGGGGCGTTGCCAAAAACTGGGCACTTGTTCTGCTCGACCTGTGTTGTTGTACTTTGGGGTGGCCAACAGCCCTGAACAATGAAGTAAATCATAGCCATGAAATATGTGCCAAGCGAGGAGACGACGACTTACCTGGCTGGCTGGCTGGCTGGTAATAATAATGAAAATACAAAATAGCCCAACAGAGCGGGTTGTTGGGGTTGGGGAATATTCATCGCTGGTTGGTTGATGCCTTCGCCTTGTGCAATTGCAGTTTGTTTGCCCGAATTTACGAGCCGGCACAAAAACCAAACGTGACCGGTAGAGAAACATACAAATATTTTCCTTTTGGCCAAATAAAACACCAAGAACGAGCACACAAAAAAATAAATATAAAAATGTAATAAAAATGCAGCTCATGCGAGCGATAAAACGCAACTTCCCCACCCTCTCAATGGAAAATCTCAGTCGTAAACTATACAATGACTTGGCACTGCTTAACCCTTTTGGTGACCCTCCGGCAGTATCACCAGTTTTTCCTGCTTTCTGCATGATTTAATGCGTAATTTTCAGGAGTTTGCAAAATTTTTCGGATAATTTATCATTTTTAGGAGGGTCGATGCGAACTTTGAGCTGGGATTTCTCCATTTTTTGTTGGCCACAACGACACCTGCCTGTGGCAGTTCCACCTCTCCGCAGCGACCCATTACAAATGGCTTTGGATGCGATGCGGAGGCCAGGAAGCAAAAATTTGTGACCACAGCCCCATTGACATTTGAGATTTAGTGGTGAGTGGACAGGCCATCGACCAGCGCAGCCTTAATTAAAATTTCCCCATTGAAATGCGGCTGGAGAATAATAAGCTACCGGCACAACCTTCGTTGATAAATGTCCTGGGGATTTTACAGGACTTCCCAGGTCTTTTGCACAGGCAGCCAGCAGTTTATGGAAATTGTTTTTAGTTAAAGTGTAGGAGCTAAAATTTATTTGCATGGTAACAGCTCTAGAGTGGGAAGTAAATTTGGTGAAAATTACGCAAAACTTTTTGGATTAGAGCTAGGAATAAGTTTTTTACTGAAAAAAACTCTAATTGAACTTTGGCTATGATAAAAAGTGCAGCTTAGACAGAGATTTTGTTTATGGTCTAACTAAATATATGAAGCATAAAGTTTCGGGAAAAGCTGCAGAGAAGGTGAATGAAGAACAAGAAATTTGGTTTACTTCCTACTTTATTAATAGTAGTTTTTAACCTTCTCTCAATAAAATGTGCTGAACTTTATATCTACCGATGAAGCCCAACTTGTAAGTTTCTTTTTGGTTTATATTTTGTTCACATATGAAAAATATTTTCCTAATTAAAAATTAACAAACTTTTTCCAGGCTTCGCATCATCCAAGCTGATTGGAATGCAATTTTGAGTTTGTGGTTCCATCCTTGCATCCCACAGCAAACTATCTCCTCGAAAGCAATTAAAAATGTAATGCATATCCTGCCCTTTGAATTAAGCTTTCACATCCCAACCCAAGCACATTCTTGGTCTTCAACTTGTGCCTTGGAGCTCTCATCCGAAATATAATGTATGCAATGGCAAATATTTTGGAATTTTTGATATGAGAGTCGTCTCCTAGTAGAATTTGTTATTGAAGAAGGGCCAGACATTGTTTAGGGCCAATATTAAGTCGATATTAATTACCAATAATTGCCTTGGACTTGGGAGCCATTTGATCCTAGAAGGAAGAGTTGGGAGCTGTTGAGATTTGCTTGGGGGGTAACAGTAAGAAATTCTGTAGGAATTTATATATTGCAAAGGCACTGAGGGAAAATATAAAACTTTATGGCAGGACTTAAGCCAGAACTTATGATAAATACTAGAAATACAAGTATATCATTCCCGTTTTAGACCCCTATTCTCTGTCAACACCCATAAATCAAGACTTGCAATCTTAATTCGCGATATCTTGTTTCCCCGTATACAAAACTCCAATTAGTGGAAGTTAGCTGCGCTGGAATTTGATTGATTCGCAGGTGTAGAGGAACACGGTACAGTCTCCCCTCGACATCTTGTAATTTGTCGTCTCATCTGGCAGTGTTTCTTCTGCTCGGGGTTTTCCATTCCATTTACCCCCTTCTACCCATAACTCACACACTTTGAAATGCAACACATGGCGACTGCAGAGATTTTCCCTGTTGCCCATGTTTTTCCTCCTGATTTTCTGCCCCGTTTTTCTTTTCGCCTCTTTGGCACTCAGAGTTTCTCCACTTTGCTACAATATCCTTTCTGCTGTCTATTTTTATCCCCGAGCACCGAGTTTCTCTGAGTTCTCTGGGGTTCGTTCGCATTATCACCCAAGAGTTGGGGGATTTCGAGTGCCGAGCACCGAGAGAGCTGTGGATTTGTCGTAATTGTGTATGGAGTGTTCTCGTCCATCGCAGCTCCGGCTACCTCTTTAATAAAGTTTCCTCGGCCTCTTCTTTGCCAGCCCCTATTCCTCGTTTAGCTCTGTGTTTGTTTTCCTTTTTTTCTGCCTTGAAGCAGACAACCCCATGCTGTGTTTTGGACTGACTACAGAGAAAACAAAACACCATAACACAAAGAACTAATCGAATAAATTGGAACATTAACTTGGATGTAACTTACATGGAATTTTTAACGTTTTATCCAAAAAACAATATTCAACTTTATTATATACTTAAACTGCAGACTCCATAATATCATTAAAGAACAATTCCATAAAGAACATTCATCTAAAAGTTGCTATAAATCTAAATTACTTTTCATAGAAATATAAATGAAAGTATTTTTTGTCTTGCCAGATGGTAATGTAATTAACGTTCAGTGTATATATCGCAACCCCACGAACTTATGTTAAAACAGAAGCAGAAACAACAGCCTATTCCCTGAAGTCGGAGGCCAAAGGCAGCTAAAATTAGACTCCAGACGATGTCGATATGGCAGCAGATTTGCTCATTAAGCGACCAATGGCAATGGTAATCGTACATGCGGTACAGAATTTTAATTCGTAGAATTAAAGCGAAGCAAATGAGTCATTCAAGATGCCCCTTTCAGATTCAACCTTTCTACTAGCTTTTTCAGCATGGAAAACATATAATGTTGAACACCATGTCGGCATTTTGAGCATTTGTACCGCTGCTTTAAGTGCCTATTATTAAAAGGTGCTTAAGGCATTGCGGTAAACGTAATAACAGATTCACCGATAGCATTTATATAGTCCTCCTTAACTAAGGATTGTATTTACTAAGTGATTTAGGGTTGTTCTACGTGATTTCCCAATCGTGTTTTATGGTGGACATACCTGAAAGAAAAAGAGAAAATGAATATATTAGTTGAAAATCACACAGAACAATTAAAAAAAAAAAAAATAAATATTTACCTTAAACACACATATAATAAATTCCGCCTGTGGTAACTTTTTGATAAGTCACAAATTAGTTTACAATTTCAAAAAGTCAATATTTGGAAAGCCAAGCCTAATTAAAGTATATACCTGATCTGATTTACGTGGGCCATAGTAGTTAGATTAATATGAACAAATACTTCACATAAAATATATTTTCGAAATAAACGCAAGCCCGAGGGTGGAATAAAATAAAATATTTCGCCCCAAAACATTAAAATAAATCCGCTTATTTTCACATGAATTGAGTTCAAAAAGCCAAAAGCAAATATAAAATTCACCCCGAACACATCTGCACTTTGGCGCAGATTTTTTGCGTGACAAAAATGCAAAGCGAATAAAAAAAAGTTAAAAACAATAACCAAATGGAATAAATTATATAAATATACATCGAAATATATATGTGGACTTTTCAATTTAAATGTGCGTAAATTGTTTGGAATTCCCGTGCCAAAAGCAGATTCCCCGGTTGGGTTTTCGGCATTGTCTGCAGTCTATAAAGTCGAAACACATAAATGTATTTGAAATGTGTAAACAAATGGGGGGCTATGGAGAATGTTTCAATTACAAAATTGAAAATAGCGAAAAACAAAAAGCAGAGAGAAACATTTCCGCCAACGACACTCTGTGCGCAGCATCCCGTTCCCATTTTTTCTCACTCATCTCGCAACTGGCAACGAACGAGAGGGCTGAGCTCTCGGGTCTAGCCATTTAATCAGTTTAAATTGACACTGGGGGTCAAATTCATTAAGATAGAATTCCTTTTTGTTTTTGTTTAGCTGCTGGGCGTTGGCTCCATGCGACAAACGCGTCGACGACAGCGTCAAAATCAACGAAGACGACGGCGGAATTTTTAAAATCATAAATCTCAAAACATAGATAGACGGTGGCGCACAGCAGGCATTTTCCATTAGCATTCCGATGCTCACGGCAATGGGGCAACACTTACACCTAGGCCATGTAATAATTGCTTTCCCGGAAATCGCCAAAAGCAACTGAAGCTGAATCCGTAAATACCTTGTTAAAATCATAAAAATTAA